GACAAACCCGACAACGACGGTCACACACCACTATATTGTGCTGCTTGGAATGGATGCGAGGGAGCGGTGAAAATGCTACTCGGACGGGACGAGGTCAGCCCCGACAAATCGGATAACTATGGTTGTACACCACTCTACTGTGCTGCCGGGAGGGGGCACGAAGGAGTGGTGAAAATGCTACTCGGACGGGACGAAGTCAACCCCGACAAGCGAGATAACGATGGCCGAACACCTTTCTGCCGTGCTGCTCGAAATGGGCGCCAGGGAGTGGTGAAGATACTACTCGGGCGGGACGATGTCGATCCTAACAAACCAGATAACTACAGCCAAACACCACTATATTTTGCTGCTCGGAATGGACACGAGGGAGTGGTGAACATACTTCTCGAACGTGGCGACGTCAGCCCCGACAAACCAGATGTGTACGGCCAAACACCACTTTATTGTGCTTCTTGGAATGGGCACGAAGGAGTGGTGAAAATGTTACTCGAGCGGGGCAACGTTAATCCCAACAAACCAGGTAACCACGGCCAAACACCGCTCTATTGCGCTGCCTGGAGAGGGCATGAAGGGGTGGTGGAAATACTGCTCGGACGGGACGACGTCGATCCCGACAAACCAGGTAACGACGGCCAAACACCTCTCTGTTGTTCTGCTTGGAATGGGCACCAGGTAGTGGTGGAAGCACTACTTGAACGGGACGAAGTCAACCCCAACCAATCAGATAACGATGGTCAAACACCACTCTGTTGCGCTGCTTGGAATGGGCACGAGAGAGTGGTGGAAATACTTCTCAAACGGGACGACATCGACCCCAACAAACCTGATAATGACGGCCAAACACCGCTCTGCTGTGCTGCTTGGAGAGGACACGAGAGAGTGGTAGAAATACTGCTCAAACGGGGCGATGTCAGCCCTAACAAACCAGATAATGACGGCCAAACGCCGCTCTGTTGTGCTGCTCGGAAGGGGCACCAGCAGGTGGTGGGGATACTGCTCAGGCGGGATGACGCCAGCTCCGATGAACCAGATGGGGACGGCCGAACACCAGTTTGGTGGGCTTCTGAGAATGGCCATGCAGGAGTGATAGCGCTACTACAGCCCCCAGAATCTGCTCCCCTCAGCACGGGCTAATGTCGAGGAGGCATGGCCTTCCCTGCCGCCCCCGAATACGGATAGCCAATGCGTTGTTTCCGCCGCAACTCTGTAAACATCTCTGCCTCTATTTTTTGGACCGCTCCTCTCATTCCCAATCAACATCCTCTCGCGGTTTACGACGTTGCACCGTGGTACCATCTCCCCTTCCTTCTTGCACGGGCCCGCAACAGCAACCACCTACCTACCTTCTCTCAGTTGAAGGAAATCGCATGCTACGGGGATGCCCATATCTATTACTTACCCACCCAAACCTCTATATGGATTTTCTTACCCAGTGGGGTCAGGACCCACGTGTTTCAGTTTGTGATACAGAGTTTAACAGTGATGGAGGCTATTTCTATCGCATTGATATAAGCCAGCGTGGCCTAGAATTTCCATCATATTCACTTTCTCGTTGGTTTCTGCTTGTACCAGTTTTTTTTTTTTTTTTTGCTACAATTCCTGTAGTGTAGACGTGGGGGGTTGTTTAAATATAGGGCGAAAAAATATAAGGTGCAAGAATTTCCGATACTCGTCAAAAGCGACCGAAGAGCTAGCTGTTAACTAAGGCATGGTTGTTGCTGGTTTCTACCGTTGACATGATTTGATGAAGATCGTGCTTATATGCCGCTGTCCCCCGAGTGTGATCTTGGGCATGAGGTCGGGGGGGGGCAGTCCACACCTTTCAGTCTTGCCCGTCGGGAAAAATTAATACAGTAGGAAGTCTTTTAACTATGAAATAAACTCCCACAGCATGACCCCCCCAAACTCGAAAAGCTCGCTATGCACCCAAACCCTTCACTCATGCTCTTGGATGTGGATCACCTATCATACTTGGTGTATCATACAGTTTTGGAGGGTAGTGATTGGTCCCCTAAATACACTACGGGGGTTACTTCTCTGAACGTGGCACAACAACTGTTTCTGTGATCTCCGCTTCTTCTGTCACTACAAGTAATGCAGTAATGCACAGCTCAGATTCTAGGCGTCTGGAGCTACATACCTAGAAGGACAGCATATTTTTCGAGCTTATATAGTATCTGAACCCACCCAACTTGTCAAGAGCAATTGAGCGGCCCAGAGCGGTGCGTGGTACCGACTTAAGAGCCAGTTGGGAGGAAGTGGCATTCCATCCTCCCTAAGTATCTCTTTGCCAACCACAATCCTCTTCTTCCCAGGAGACTCCTGTCAGCTGCTCAGGTCGGGCGTCACGAACCCACATAATCTCCCCCCTAGCCAGGCACCAGAAAAAGCCTCGCCGCGTCCTGGGACATTAGTATTCGAATAATACCGTGAGTTACCGTGTTGAAAACAAATGATACCGTACAGCAATTAAAGACGCAAGACAGTAGGCACAATACCGGAAACGGTATCTCGCGATATGGAATTTGATTCAGGGTAATCGGGGGGGGTTTTTTGTTTTTTTTGCCAATGTGAAGAAGTTAGGGTGGGAGGCAGTTAGACAAAAGATTTGAAGATGGATCTATGGTAGTCCTATATATGAGGAGGATTTTGTGGAGAAGACTGCCTTGAAGGTGTCAAAGTTTGACCCAAGTTATTTTTTATCTGAAATATAGGAGGTTATTGTGTATTTAAGAGCCTATATAGGATTTTATTCCCCTCCTCCATGCACCATGGGTAACCCCCCCCCCCCTTATACCGGTATCACCACTGGGATTTAAAGTTTTCTTGTACACTATCATACCCCGGCTAACGTCGTCTACAAAGTTCACGGCGAGTGCCATGATCGTATTGTGTCATATGTCGTCACTACGTGAACTTACGGTTTGAGTCCTAAGCATAGACGAGTGATGGTATGTGACGGGTTTATAAAGCAGCAGCTGAGGAAAGGTTATAACGGGCGTCCAAGTGTGGTAGTTTGTATGAACGAACAGAAACAGGGCTAAGCTTGTTTTCACACATACTGTACTAAGTCTACCACAGCAGATTTCCCATACTCCGCGGTTGAGCACACGAAGAGCGTCGTCGGTATGGTAATCTCCTCCAGAGCTCACCTGGCCTGGGATTTACGGTGCTGTCTCGATTAGTTGGTCCAGTCGCAAATATTAGATCCTGAATCATCCTATGATACGGTACCAGAAATCGTAGCTGTAGGATGCATTGCTGGAAAACGGTATCTGGTGACATGAAACTCGATGCCACGTAATGACGTTTTGCCGTAAAGGGTTCTTGTTGCGGAAAGTGCTGACAAACTGAGGTGGATTTTAGATGACCTACCCGCAGAGATTAGAGGATGGTTAGAAGAAAAAAAAAGACCCAAAGATGAGGCTTCGGTAGTATAAAGAGTGCGAGAAGGTGTCAGTCCGGATACACGATATTCTTATCCAGTACTTCCGGGATCAGTTGTGGGTCCAGAAACCTGATTGGGGTTTCCCTTCCTCCTCGATACGCCTTATGTAAACATTCCTCCAGCAGCTCCATTGATGCCTAAAGTGTTGTTATGCTAGCCCAGATAGTGGCGTCTGGCAAGTTGTGGTGATCTGCCGTACTGTATCGCAGGTTGCCATATCGTATTCTTTCGTAATACCACAAGCTATCGTCTGTAAATCTACCAAACCCTACTAGCAGCCGTTGGCGAAGCGAGCGACCTACCATGATGTGCTACTGTACCTGGGAGTACGATATCTGGAGAAGATATCTTGGGTATGATAGCTATCCTCCAGGGAGTGCGGTGGCTCGGTTACAGGACCCCCCCCCCCCCGATGGGAATTTGCAGAATGAATCTGGTTATACCCGAGCCCCCAGAAAATTGCCGAAAAGACAGGTTCGGCAGAAGCAAGCCACAAATATCTAGCTTGCACTTTCCCCAACAAAATTAATCCGCAGCTTACAGCAGTAATAACCACGAAAAAAAAACCCCCCCACATTCCCTGGGACAATCTTCAACCATCAGGGGAAAAAAACCCCATCTATTCATGCCATAATTTCTCTATATATATACATCCGGCACCCCCCTCCACTTGTCCCCCCAATCACCCCAGTCACCCCCTCTTCCACTCGTGATTCCACCCAATCTTCGACGGCGTATCAGTCGGGATCCGGAATTCCACAATCGGATACCGAAAAATTGACTTCGCAACCGCCCTCTCGTAAAGACCCGGGCTCGTAAGCCTCAATTCCTCGCACGCATCCCTCATCTTATTGTACTGCCTCTCGAGCTCGTATTCCCGCTCCTTCTGCTGCGCGGTCTGGTACAATCTCCAGGCCCGATGGATCGTCCAGTGCCGGAGCATGCGCATTGTGCCGAATCGAAGCGGGCGGGGGGTCTTAGGGTGGTAGAGGGAGTAGCGGATTAATTCTGCCAAACACCGAGTCGTTAGTCACAATCGAGATGGGTCGCAAAACTACTCACTAATTCGAACGTCGGTCGGAGCGCCCTTTTTCGATTTTGACTTCCTCGCCATTCCGCGGGTGAGGGACGCGGGTGCCGTGCCATTCCCCAGAGCGGCTGCAGCGCGGAAGGCTTGGAGGTGGGCTATTACCGAGAATTGAGGGAGGGAGAGCGTTGTAGAGCTTATTCGTAGCATCTTTGGTTCGGGGGTGATTTCTCGGAGGTGGTGTTTCGTGGGGTGTGAGGTGAACTTAAACTTTTTGCCAAGGGTCCGTCGCTTGGCAGTAAGTTACCTGGGGGATGGGTACTTTACGGTATCATACCGAGATGTTGGGGTTTAGTGCAGAGTCAAGTACTGCCAGCCCACTGAGCGAGTTTCAATGGTAAACTAGCAGGTACCCTACGAATCATAACTAGTAATGATCTTCTACAATAGTAGGCATGGTAGTAGGGAGCTGGTTGAGTTAGAAGAATACCGTACCGGCATTCTAGAACTGGAGAAGAGTAGGGTAGACCAAATCCACCGGCAACCCAATACCTAGTCAGTACAGTTTCACAAGGTGCAGACGTCCCGTATTCCCAGCGCCGCCAACAGGACTATCCCAGCAGAGAGCCTAGATCTCGTCGATCTTTAGAAGCAGTACTCGAGTACGGTACTGTAATACCATGAACTCGCACAGTACCAGCATCAAGCAGCACAAATATTATCATCAACACTAGCAACATCCCATTCATCAATCCAGCCCAACCCACTGCTCTCGCAAATCCAAACCCCCCCGAACCGGTGTCACTCCAAAAGCGGAACTCCCGTACTTGTACCGTCCTACAAAATACCGTACTCTACCCAAATACGGATTTGACCTTCAGCACTCAGAGGGCCAAGATAATTTCCCAATGCAGACTAGCCTCAAATGCCAGAGGCTTGAACCCCATTGGTGCCAAGTGCGCCCATGCGGCTACTCAGGAGAATCCCGGCAACAATTTTCTTGAAGGAGACGTTTACGGCACTTTGTTTAGGCTTCCTGTCGGGGTTTCCTTTCTTTGACGCGTTAATCTTTGAGAGGCTCCTGCTCGAGGATGGGAGTCCCACCCTAGGGACTCGAGGCTCTTTAACTACCCGGAGGGGGGTACATACCACACAATCTCGACACTACTATGATGCGTCCAGCAGCGGTGGCCGCGGCAGGGAGATCTCGGCTACTGTACTAGTACGAATACCTCGCGGGAAGGACCCGAGGCCCAGTAAGACACTAATATAAACGCCGGATTACGCCAAATACCAAGACCACTGTCACGATGAATACAAGCCTATCCCAATCTAGGCCATAATATAGGAGCCCATCCCCCCAAGGCCAATCCCAAAGCACAACCCCGAACTCCCTTAAAACCCAACCATCCCCTTTTCCCAAATTCTTTCTTCCTCTCCTCTCCCTCCATCCCACACACACCACACTCATTCATTAGTCCACCGACCCACAAACACGCTCTTTTTCACCCTCTTTCAGACCAACTTAGACCTTCATTTCACTTCAGAAAATCTCCTGACAAAAAAAAATGCAATTCAAGGCCCTCACTTTCCTCACCCTGGCCGCCGTCACCGCCGCAGTCGCTCTCCCTGCAAGTGGTGCGAATGCGGGAAACATTGCTGTCAAGGGGTTCACCGATGATTGCAAAAGCCAAAGTCTGACTGTGATCTGCTGCAACAAGGCTGGCAGCGATGCTTCCACAGGCGATTTGACTGGAAATCTCAATGGCGCGGATGTCACTTGCAACAAAGTTCCTGACTATGTCGCGGCCGGTACGTTGTCTTTATCATGGGAAGAGGGATCGGGCTAACGTAGCGGGATTTATAGGAACTCTTGCTCAGGTTCAGGCACAGTGTGGTTGTGGACTTGGTTGCTGTACCAGTGATGCTATTCAGGTAAGTTCCTAACCCCCACTTTTTTTTGGGAGGGGGGGATTGTTCCTAATAGCTTTCTAGGGAGGAACCGTCAGCACCAGTGCTGGGTGTTCTGGTTTCGCTGTCTAGGTTAGTTTCCTGGCTCACTGCTGCGCTTGAGATGTACGGTGGAGGAATGGGTGATGAAAGGGGGTGATGGAAGATTCGTTCTGTATCAGTATTCTTAGTGTGGCATATTTAATCTAATTGTACCAACAGACAATCGCTATTCCCAGGAGTTCCCATTTGTTTTTGTTTTTTCTTTCGCATCGCGGGTGTTCTAACCGCAACTGCAGTTCTATCCGTCATAAAGAGTCACTCGGGAACCACAGCTTTTAACTATTTTCCAGGGGGCAAGCTTCATTGCTATCCAGCCTTCCCGCTGCGGGAGGAAGAGGGGGAAAAAGCCACCACCTCTAACAACCCAATCTCTGTATCCCTCAGCCAACTCCTTTAAACTCAAGCCCCATGTTGAACGAATCCGCAACACCCCGATCCCTCAGTGCCAGATTTCGCACCCGCCTCTGCCCGAGCACAAGCATCCAAAGTCTCCTGACCAACATCACTGACATTAGCCGACGTGTTGCAGACAAAGTTCGCAATAATAGCAAGGTTGAAAGTGCTTTGCTATCTGTTAAATCCATTGCTCCCGTCAATGGATGAATCGGTTAGCGGGACTTGGCTACAGTGATTACAGATTAGTACAACACAAAAGCCTTCTCGCTAGATGCATGTCACGTATGATACCTTTAAAACCCACCGAGTGCTCATCTTCAACAAGTCTCCGGTCAGAATCCCCGGATCTCCAGTACCCCTCCTGGCATTCGTCAAGAACCTCACGCGCATGGCACCCGAACCCAGTTTCTTTTTTCGGATTCGGAAGGTCCCAGTCCAGTGTCACCGGCAGCGGAAGAACGGATTGAGAGCGGGCCGCCTGCCCAAGCGAGTTCATCCATTACACTCGCAGCGGGACCTTCAGGCCCCGTATATACGAGGTCTGTAGCGATCGGGTTCGCTGATCCCACTGGGCTGGCCTCAAAGACCGCCTTCGGAAATCGCGCTTGGGTCTGAGCATGAGCCGAGGCCCAGGCCCAGGGATCCACCACCGGTAGCAGTGCTGCTTGCGGGTCATCAGTGTCGTTATCACTGTTGGTAGAGATGTTATTTCTTATTTTTTTTCACCTGCTGCGGGATTGCACCCAGCAATAGCAGCGGTGGGGCGGGTTGTTGTGATTGCTCTTGCTATATATCCCTCCGTCTGTACCGAATTTCACTCATTTTTAGCGCTATGACCGGTAGGACTATTACCCCGATTATTTCAAGCATCACCCATCAATGAAATAGGCTCACTCTCAGAACGCTGACCTAGCCAATCGACAAGCTTGGCCTTCCTCTAGTTGATGGTAGGCCGCCATTTATATTATATCTTTTGGGGTTAGGGGGCGTTCCAAAACCATTTCCCGAAAATAGATTAAGGATTATTCCTAGTAGCGGCCGCGGCAGCACTAGCTCCAGCTCCAGATAGCGCAGCACTTGTAATCCGTTCGCCGCGCCCGACCAGCTTTACACGCTGCGGCCGCCGCGGCAGCATTACAGATGTTCACAAGCCGTTTGCCCAAGAATCATTAGATGCTGATGCTTAGTCCTGAGCCTTGACTGAATGAAGTCTGTGATGCTGGCGGCCTGGAACGGCCCATCCGCGCTGGTTACCAGAAGTTGCGTTTATGTATAAAGGAGGTTGGGGGGTATTACCATGCCCATCAAGACCCTCCTCAAATAAGCTCGCAGTATCACCACAGCTACCGGTGTCGAATGCTTGCCACCCTGAGTCCAGAGGTGTGCACTGTCCATGACTACAGCGAAGGTGGTGGCGAGCGCGACCCACGACTGGAAACTTGTAGAAGACAAGAAATGTATATCAGGGAGGGGATAGTACGAAGAAAATGAATGTGGAAGGGAAATCAGTGCAGCTGGGAAAAATAAAGTTGTTAGGGATTGCCCTATGATGATGAAAAAGCGGGAATGGATCGTTGCATGTCACGCCTCAGGGAAGGTAGGGTGAAACCGAACAAGAAGCAAGGATGAGAAAGTGCCTACCGAAGCAGCATTCTTGAGATTAAGAAGGGACTTCCGAGCCCACAAGTATGATAGGCATTCCGAATAGAGTTTATTGTGATAGTATACTATACGAGTAGCTATGATACTACCCACAACCAACCAAGGCCCGAAGCGTCTATCCTAGCCCCCAGCCTCCCGGGGTGTGACATCACATGATATGAGAAATTCCGACCACAAACCTCACAGGAGAACCGAAACCAGTAACATACCACCCGAGCAAAATATCGCAAAGTATGATATATCATAGAAACAAGCCAACACACAGCACCCATTCCCGCAAGATTAGATCTCGGCCCCACCCTCCACCCAACAACCAGATCCGTTAACAAAACTGACGGTGCTATCATTCCACAACATACTCCGCATCTCCCGCTTTTTCGCCCGTATGGTTTCCCCGTTCCCGATAGCGGGCGGGAAGACAGGTTAAGTATAATATCGGTTGGAACTTGATCCACCCTCACCACGAGTTTTCTAACATTAGAAGGTTTAGTTGGTTGGTTGGTTAGTCCGGGCGTGAGGGAGGGGGGGGGGGGGGGGGAATACAGGCTGTTATCCGGTGGGATGTATATTCCAACGTCTGTCCGTGGAGTATTATAATGGCGGTGGTGGTGTAGATGCGCTGGCAGGGTGTTCCGAGGCGTTCATAAGTTCTCACTCGGAGCCCGCACCCCCCCGCCCCCCCCACGTCGTCTGGCGAGATCAATGCCCGCGATGACATAGTACATGTACGGCTCTTAGAGGTATGATATCACAGCGGCCGTGGGCAGGGCACACCCATCTCACCAAGGCTTTGCGGATCCAGATAGAGCGCTTGTCTACAATTGTCCACCGGGGTACGGTACTCCCGCTATCCTCTCTAATTAGTTCTCCTGCAATGTCCGATGGCAGTGGCAGCTACACACATTTAACCTCACCCGCTCAGATTACCCCTCAGAATCTTCCATCTATAATATCTAGAACTGCCCCGTAGAGAGTCAGACCCCCCCCCAATTCGTATTTACCCACTGCTGTGATATAGGACAGGTTAGCGGATAAGGCAAGCCCCAATTACTTGACTGGTTCTTTGGTTCCACCCAAGTGGGATGGAAGCCTTAAGCACCGTTTTCACTAGGGCTGTGGTTGGAGGTGTTAATGCTTTATCGTCCATGCCTGAATGGAAAGTACCCGCGCTGCGCTTGGGTCTTTTCTCGGCGGGGGGAGCGGGGGTGCACTCGCTTGGATATGATACGTACGCTAGATACATCTGCAGGTGGTCTTTTGTGTATAGAATAGATTGGGACCACCTTTCTTGGGCTAAACGGTTTTTTTGCGGTTTTGGCCTGGCCATGGGGTATTACTCTAGGTGGGGATACAAATTACGAGTTCGCTGGTTACAAGGAGTGATGTTTCATGAACCTCGGTGAGCTTGAACTCTGGTGCTCGAGGGGGTTTTGTGTAATGCATATTTTGGGTTTGCGGCGAGTTGGGTGGGGGTTTTACGGCGTGGCCGGGATGAAAGGTTGGAATCACTTCAAACAGGGTAGATATATGTGAGGTAATGGATAAACTCAGGTGGGATTTTATCTCAAATGTGGACTGGCACCTTTTGCCAGTAGTTATAGCAATTTATTGTATTGCCGTTTCCACACATTTCCCCTCTCTGTCATAGCTTGCTTTTGCCTCCCTCTCGCAATAACTCCTCTAGAGGAACTCGTCCCCCATCACCACCACCCCTACTCCCATCGCCCAATCCCTCAACGTGTTCCTTCCACCCCCACTTCTTCCTGAACCTCCCCTTCCCTGCAAGTACATCCCCGATTTCGTCCCCCAATACCGGCAAAAACTTGAACGCATGCCCGCTACCCCCACTAGCGATGAACAGCCCCTCGTGATCCGGATGCCAAGTCACCAAAAAGTCACTATCGGGGGTGTCCGTGTACCAACATACTCTAATCTTCCCGAATGGTCTGTCGGAGAACTCAGGTACTATCCGCTTAACCGCATCCCTCAGCGCATCTTCGCCCTCCCGTGGAATCTCCTTTGGGAATACCGGTGTGGGGGAAGCGTATCCTTGTGCGTGCCGGGCGAGCTTTAAGGTTGGGGGCGAGGTGTTTGGAGAGTGGATTATGAATGTCCCCGTCGTGAGGTTTAGGAGTACGGGTAGGCTTGCATAGCGGGTTGCTTCTTCTTGAGATAAGGTTAGATAGGCCATGACTTGCCCCGACGGGACCGCTCGGCCATGTAATTCCACAAGGCCAGGCGTCCATGCGCCAGCAGCGAGAATAGTAAGCCCAGCGGTGATCTCTTTCCCGTCGACGAGTTTGACGCCGAGTACTTTGCGTCCTAAGTAGAGGAGTCCCGACACCTCCGCTATTAAAAACCGGACGTTTTCTCGAGATTCAACTTCCGAGTATAATATCCGCATTGCGGCTTCTGCGTCGACCCAGCCGCTGTTCCAATTTACGTACCCGGACACTCCGCTACAGCCTCCTGCCATGAGACCTCTGATTTCTTTCTCGGTCGGGAGATATTCCACCCCGCCCTCTGATTTCACGTTTTTGTAGGAGTCCTTGAGGTACCTGTTATCACCATCTGCAGTGACGACTAATCCTGTTTTGCGGAATGCTGGATGCCCAGCCCATCGCTTGAGGGCTTCTCTGCCTAAGGATGAGTAGGCCGGATCTGCATAGTCTGCGCGGACAATACGAGAAGAATCTATTGAGGCTGTGTAGGGGCATGGGAGCGCATGCTTATCTATGACAAGGACTTTGGTCGAGGGGTATCGGTCTGATAGTGTACGAGCAGTGGACACTAAGGTAGGTTCGAAGCTTAGCTGCGAGGTGGGTTAATAGAGGGAAAAGTGTGGGGCCTACAGCCAAAGACTCCGCAGCCCACTATGATGACTGTCGACGGAGGAGTGAAAGTGAGAGCCATCGTCGACGATTACTATAGGGCCTTTGGTAGAAAGAAGGAATTGAGTGGAGGAAAGGGGGGGTTTGTCTAGGGTGTGGTATAGAGAGTAGGGTGAGCTGGAGTTGCTTTACGGCAGCCTTAGCATCATATTCGTGCAGTTACGAGTACTGTAGAGCACTGGGATCGCATTATTCCACTTGTAGCAATCGTATCTTCGGGAACCACATCCTCATGTAGCCCATCTCTTATCGACAAGGCATGACACCCTGTGCTAATCAGCTGTAAGCTGTTATGATACCAGTCCTTCGGGTATCACGTTACATCGAAAATCTTAGACTAAAAAAGCCACCAATTAACCACCAACCATCTAGCAGTGTAACCCTAGATATAACACAAGGAAGATAACATGAACTCCACCCATACAAGCATCAATTGGACAAAACCAACATTACTCCCTCACGCCCCATACCATCATAGCAACTATTAAAGGAAACACGGCAGCAGAGAAAACTACAGTCTAACTATCCAGAAGTTTGTCGTTACCCGCCAACTCTTCCTCTGCAAGATTTTCGTAGTTCTCTAGGCTTTCTTGAATGTGTACTTTAAACTTGATGACCTCATGAAGCATCTTGTCAACCTCTCCGTGGAACTTTTCCCGGAGAGCATGGCAAGCATGTTCCAATTGATCGCGCCTATAACTTATTAGACCAGCTTTTACTTGGATCGCTAGAGTTAGAAAACTTACTCAATGGTAACGCTTTGCATGCGTTGTTCCAGAGCCAAGACGCCATTAGACATGTTTAATCTCATGCTTGCAAGCTCTTTCTCGAGCTTCTCAATTTCAGCATTTGACGCATTCCCCTCCGCCGCCATGGTCTCCTTGAGCTCCTGGTACTCATCAACTGCGGTGCGGACTTTTGCGTGCAGGGTGTCAACCTCATCCCGTTTGTCTGCCAGTGTCTCGACTATGCGGTCTATCAACTCTTGAGTCTTGATAGCTTCGTCCTGAGCCTCGTGAATTCGTGCTCCAATTTCTTGTCGGAGCCTATTAAGAGCCGGCTTAATATCATGTCGGAGATCGCGATTAAGCAGCTGAGCTGGCTGGTATCCAACCTCGTCCGCGAGCAGCTTGTTTTCGGGGGTCTGGGTTGGGAGAATGAGGAGTTCAAAGTCCTTTCCCTCTGCATTTCGAGATAACGAGGGTACGATGCCGATTTGATACGCCAGTGAATTGTATCTCGAGACCGAGCGTTCGAGAGCCTCGAGTTTTGATGAAGCCTCGGATTCGCGCTCCGACAGTTGGATCTTGGCTTCGGTGATTTTGGAGGAGATGAGCGAAAGGGATTTGGAAAGCTTTTCACGGTCGTTGTTCATGCGGTCTATATCCGCTGGTGTTAGGCCTTGTCTGTCAACAGCTTCTTGGAGACTTTGCTTTTCGGCTGTCAACTCTGCAAGTTCTCGCTCTACGGCCTCAATCTCTTCCTTGAGCTTCTGATTGGATGCGGTAACCTTCGGTATGCGGAGTTCTAGACGCTCAACGTAGGTGACGAATTTTTGTTTATCGCCTTCAAGAAGAATTCGGGTTTCCTCCAACTTCTTGAGGGGATCGGCAGATTCGTCCATTTCCTCAAGTTGTTTTTTGAGCTGCTCGTTCTCTGATTCAAGCATTTCCAACTCCTCCTTGTATCCCGATTGTCGATCTTCAAAAGAGGCAGCCATCTCCTCCAGGAATTCATCGTGGTCATCATTCTCCACAAGCCATGCCGAGTAGCAGCGGGTAAGGTATCTAAAAATGATCTTTTCCGCTGCAATGTCCACGCCCTCCGCCGCGGCTGCATCATCGAATTCTCCGGATTGAAAGCGTTCCATAGTGACTGCCAACTCCATCATCCAGTGTAGGATTCCAAGGAACTGCGGCCACGAATTCATAGACCCAACTGCCGCTAGTTGCGATTTGGTGATTGTGCTAGCGTAGGGGTATCGGAGGGTTTTTAAGATGGGTAAGACCTCATTTTCAATTGCTTTCTGAAAATTGTAGTTTGGGTCAAATCTCTTGTACAGCCACTGGAACACCATCGAGAAATCCTTCTGGGTAGGACTCTTAAGGGAATTGGGACCGAGCGTATGCTTCATCTCCAACTCGAACCCATTGTTGACGACGTACTCAAAAACTTTACCAGCAATTTCGTGTCGATATGCAGAGTCTTTGAGTGGTCTTGGATCTCTCTGAACAGCCGTAGATGCAGCACTACTGAAGAAGCTGTTCATCTGACTGAAGGCTGCCGCACCCATAGAAGAGCGGCGCATAACGCTACTGCGGCGCTGGGACGGGGGAGGTTGGCTAGAGGGAGCATAGGACTTTCGCGCAGAATATCTTGAAGGGTCTCTCTTTGCAGTTGACAAAACGTCTGGTTGGTTGTACGCTGGGCGAGCAGCCAGTGACATGCGAGAGTTTGATGGCCTGGAGTTGGAGTTTGATCGCTTCAACGCCGAAGAAGGTTGAGGGATGCCAGAACTATACATGCTTGAGCTTGGTATTCCGCTGACGGTCTGAATGATAGATTGTTAGAGGATCCCCGGTTAATTTTGGCGGGGGAGAGGGAAATACTTCTCTAGGGCGCTTGAAAGCACTGAAAAGGTTTGGATCCTGCGACATCGCAGCTAGGGGGAATGAGAATCTTATATGTGACCAGAAGTGGTATGAATCCGGCGCCGGAAGGAAATTTGCGCTATGCTTCAGCACGGTGTGTTGGTTGTTCCTTTGTGTGTGTGCGATAACGGTTGTGATGGAGGGGAAACAGATGAAGGCTAGGAAGCCGTGCATCAAAACAAACAACCATACCACAGCGTGCCTGAATAGCAACCACTACAAATATGAACAGAATACTCTCAGTCCAGCGTCAATCAGATTCTACATATTCAATATAGTCAGTTTTATTATGTACGGGCAGAACCTATGTATTGTAGTGTTCACGTATCGCACGCGACCAGGTGTTTCTTGCATCCTCGGCCCCGACATGAGTGTGGGCCGAAGGAGCAATTCAGCGCATCACAGTGTTCCACTCACTCTGCGTTCCTCTCTCGCTCTCTCGCTCTCTCCTATCCATCTTTCTTCTAGCTTTCAAGTCAATCTCGACACCCTCCTCTCCCTTTATCCAATCCATCCTCCCTTTTTCCCTTGAAGTTTTAGAAAGGGAGTATACATATATCGCGTCTCTAAAATGCGGGAAGATCTCATAAATTCTGCTGTAAGTTCCATTATATGAATTCGTTTCTTAACTCGCGTTTTCTAACTTTGCACTAGGTTACTTGTATGATATCCAATCTTCTCAGTACCCACCGGAAATACACTGACTTCTATCCGCAGTTCTTTCTGACCCTACTGTTGCTGCCGCGCCCCTTGAGAAACGGATAGCCTTTCTGCAATCGAAGAATTTGACCAAGGAGGAAGTCGATGCAGCTCTATTACGGACCGGAGGGGCCCCTGGCCCTGTATCTACTAGTCTAGTGCCATCGGGCACCCATCCTCCAGTTGTATCACCACCAGCGCCTGGGTATAGTGCCGGTTACTATGCTCCTCAGCAATACCAGCAGATTGCAACAGGGTATGTTCTTTGGCGCGCATGGATTCAAGTGGGTAACTGATTCCGCTCAAGACCTAGAGATCGTGATTGGCGTGATTGGTTCATCATGGCAACCGTCACAACCACTATTGGATTTGGGCTATACCACCTGGCGAAGCGATATGTTGCACCGATGATCTCGCCCCCTACGCCGCCTCAGCTAGAGACGGATAAGGCACTCATTGATGCAAAGTTCACAGAAGCCTTTGACCTATTAGACAACTTGAGGAACGATACGGCAGCGCTCAAGACCGCCGAGGAAGAGCGTAAGAACCGCGTGGATGCTGCCCTCGCTGAGGTGGAGAATGTCATCCAGGGACTGAAGGAGGCCGGGAAGCGGCGCGAGGATGAGTCGAAACGTGTCGGAGATGAGGTTCGTGGTTTGAGGGATTTGATTCCGAAGGCGCTGGAGGGACAGAAAGAGTTACAAAAGAAATCTCTCGAGGATTTACAGACAGAGTTGAAGAGTTTGAAGCAATTGGTCATGAACAGGACCGGTGCCGCTAGACCGAGCTTCTTGCCCAATGGACCAACCGGCACACCACCACTAGACCCAGGGGGTGCAACGGGGGGTGCTGGCCAGACACTGGGCGGTGGTGCAACACAACAGGTTTTGGGCCCAGGGGGGAATGCTCTTGGGGGCCTGCAGAGGAAGGAGGGTGGCCCGCTACCATTTAGTGCTAGGCCCGCAATCCCCGCATGGCAGATGGCGGCCGCGGCAAAGTCATCTCCTGTCGTGCCAGTTGCAGGAGCCGGCAGCAGTGGGGGGGAGGGTGCTGAAGCCAGTTCAAGTTAATCTCTCCTGAACCGATTGCTCCCCTTCAGTTTCGTTTGCGTAGTTATGGTTGTTTGTCGCTTAGGTGTTTGATTACCGTACGGGGAGGACAAAATGGGGCATGTGTAGCATATTATATCATTAAGCAGAAGTTGATAATACCATAACCAGAGTTCCTTTGTTTTCGCCGTTACTGTTCATAAGCTACATGGAGAATGCCCGGTTTATCCCATGTATGCTATATACTGGCACTCCCCCGTGAGCGGCCCTACCGTATCATTGACAACCTCAGCCGGGTAACATAGTGAGACAGCACGACCCAGCAAGGTTCAGCCTCCTAGGTTCAACTAAGATTTTGGAAGTTACTGGTATAATCATACAGGAAAGCACCACGCGTACACCTATCACACCCGCCCTTCCCCACGATCTCCACCACTAACTCTCCCTCCCCCTCCCCCTCGCTCACCACCAACAACTGCCAATAAGACGACAACAAACAAAACAACAACACCGATGGACTTTGCCCCCTACCAATCCGAGTCCCCAGAGGTCTCGAGAAACTTCACCCGGCCGACTTCCCCACCTGCACGATCCTCATATTCACCCCTCCCCACACCCCAAGCCCCCCCACCAATACTACCCACCCACTCCTCGCCATCGGGATGGAGCAGCAGTGGGCTTGGCCGGGAGACGATAAATCAGTTTGAGACGAGCTTGCCAATACGGTTTGTTTATCACCTCTCTCGGAGGTGATGGCGGAGGGGAAGGAGTGGCGCCGTGGACTGATGGGATTTAGGTTGGACTGGGAAGCTGTTATGGCATACGTGCTATTGCCGCCTGCTGGCGGTGTTCTGTTGTTGATCTTGGAACATAAGAGTGATTATGTTAGGTACTTTTACCCTGCTCCCTCGTCCAACTATATCGAAGTACGGAGCGCGAGTACTAACTGATTGAGGGGTTTAGGTTTCATGCATGGCAAAGCTCGCTTTTGTTTGCTTTCCTAGTGGTAAGTCCCCTTGTTGAGAATGGGTGAGTGGATGGAGCGGAGTGTAGTAGTGGTTAACAGTGGGGGACAGATCTTGCATCTTATCTTTTCGTTCTCGGCATTCTTGTCGTATTCCCTGTTATTAGCAGATTTAGGCTTGATTGGGTATCTGGGTTTCCATGCCTATGTCGATGCGGATACTCTTGATAGGTATGGTTGGGGTTGCCCCTGCCTTGGGGGTTAATTTGTGGAGGCCTGCTGACTGTTGTTGTATGATAGATGCGAAGTGCCCTTTTTTGGCCCCTTGGCGAGCTCGATTCTGGACGATGAGTAGGCGTAGCAAAGGGATTCTCGGTGGTTAATGGCTATTTCCTTTACGATGGGGTTGGAATTTCGTAGTTTCGTGAGCAGCAGCTATCTATTTGTACGATATACCGGTAGAAGTGTATTGGCAGGGTTTGCAGTGACCTTGAGGTGGCTTAATAATGTTTTTCCGGGTTGGTCGTGATACACTAGTAATACAAGTATAACTTATGTCCTTTCGACATTTAACTGGTAGACTAACTTAGGCGAATTCCTGTGAGACTGAAATTTGCCCATGATTGCAGAGCCAGGGTTGGCCACGTGTGACCAAGGCATGTGTGAAATGAGTGTATGGGGGGAGGGGGGTGTCCCTTGCCTGGGAACCTCACACGACGTCAGTGAGCCCGCAACAAACACAATGCAATGCGTTCCCTTCATTCTCACTTCCCCTTCAAGAACGCCGCCATCGCCACTATCTACACGCTCTCCTAATACCGAATACCCGGCTACAGCGCCGACACTCTGGACGATAATCCCTAATAGCTAATTAATGAGATGGTTCATCACCCAGTGCCTCCCCTTCAACGAAACTCTATCAAAAGGCTAACAGGAGCTCGCAACAGTCTAACGGCTTCCTCCTCCTCCTCCTCCCCCCCCGTTTCCTCCGCATCCTCCTCTCGCGGCCCGCGCAGCGCGCCTACCTCACGACTCTTCTCCTGAGCATCTCAACCCTTGTCCTCTTCTTTCTAGCCGTAATCTCCTACACCCTCTTCTACATCCACCACGTCCCGCACATTGGCGTTCAAAAGCCCCTACACCTACAATTCCCCACATCCCCATCCACCTCATCCCTTTTCCCCCACCAGCATCGCCACCCAACCGGCGTAATCCACTTCAACGGTGAAATCATCCCACGGCAGGAATACTCCGTCGCCCTCCTCCTCCTCCTCCCATCCTCCCCCGAGAACCAGAATGCAGGGAACTTTATGGCCGAGATAACAATTTACTCCACTCCCCCCTCCCCCTCCTCCTCAGCTTCCGCGCCGGGAACGGTGATAGCGACCAGTCGTCGGGGGGGCTTAATTCCCTGGCGCAGCCCCATCGCTCGCACGGCGCACACGCTACTCCGGCTTCCATTACTGCTCTTTCTACCAAACACGAAGGAGGAGGAAGCCGTCCGCGTGGTGCTACTTGAGGACGTGGTCTTTGATGAGCCCGCGCGACATGCGGTGGTTAGCCTAGAGAGCCGCTCGAGGCTGGACGTGTACGAGGCCAGGGTCGAGCTCCATGCGAAGTTGGCCGGGATAAGGTGGATCATGTGGCGATGGAGGGTCCTCAGCTTTCTCCTAGGGAGCGGACTATTCTTTGCCGTGGAGGTTTTTGCGACGGTGGTGGTCTGGTGGGTGGTTTACGGATGGTTCGCTGGCTCGGGAACATTGCCTGCGCCCGGCGAGGGAACATACCCCGAGGACGAGGAAGGGGAGGAAGGCGACAGGGTCGACGGAGCAGATGATCTGGGCTTCGACACGCCAGAGAGTATAGGAGCGGATGATGAGGAGGAGGAGGGTGACGATGAAGTCCTACTTAAGAGCGACGTGGGCGATTCCGGGATCGGGAGCCTATCGGAGAGTTTAGGGACTACCGCCAGGGAGAGGTCCGTGGGTGGCGCAGGTGGCAGTAGTAGTGGTGGTAGCAGGAGGCGGAGGACCAGGTCGGGGTAATAATGGGTGAAGGCGGTGATTTAAGTGCCCTAGTCTGCAGGCGTTTTCAAGTCGGGTGTTTTGAGTATTCGATATTAATCACGATTCTTTCCCCTCTGCCACCTCTCCGCCCGAATGTGATCCGCCATTGGAAACGGCGGCTTCTCACGATCCCACTAGTCGACTTCCTAGTACAAATTCGGTTGATACCGGTGTGAGGTCTCTGCTAGTTATACTTGGCTAAGGATCTAGTCCCCTTGGCACAGAGCGGATAATTGGCGGTGGCTAGGAAGCTCCCATAGTACGAGCACTGTATCATATATATACCGGTAGTCCCGCGTGCCCGCTAGGGCAGAGAACTATAATGTATGCTCCGTCTTCCGAAAGTCTTCGTCCTACATCTTTTCCACATTTGCACTTTGAAAGTTCCCGAGTGATGGACTATGAGCAAGACTGGGCAAAGAAAGTATAACATGTATGATATCAAGATAAAAAACTTTTAGAAGAGAGTAGAACCCACAACCCCATTCCGTCCGTATAAACATAAGGAAAAGAGAGCCCAAACTAGGCTTCACCCCCCTCCCCCCTCTCTATCTCCTGCATTATTCCCCTCCACCTCATGGCAAACTCCCACACAGCCTCCTCCCCCTGCGCTCCGGCCTCAACCACCTCCCTGGGCAACTTGCTGGCAGAGTGGGTCGCGGTGCCGAACCCCCACGGTTCCGGGTCCCCGCTCTCCACGAGCCTAACATCCACCACGTCCTCGTCAGCCTCGTCCACCTCCTGCGTGCGAAGCCGTAATATCTCCCCCCATGAAAACAAGGCAGAATCAGTCCTCGGAGCAAAGGGGTTGATATCCACCAACCAAACCCTCCTCCTCCCCCTTCCCCCTCCACCCTCCCGCGCCGTGGGCTCCACATAACAATCAAACACGAAATCCTCATCCGGAAACCCGGCCAAAAACTCCTCAAAAAAGTCCACAACCAGCCCCCGAATCTCGGTCTCCAATTCGCCCAGGAAGGAGTAGTGATTGAAGTCACGCTGAGAAATGCCCACGATCCGGCTACCGGCGACGAAGGTGCGGAATTCGAGGGCGGGGTTCATGTTGAAGTATTTCCGCAGGACGAGATGGTACGGGATCGAGGAGGCGGGGGTTGTGTCGGACGGATCAGTGTCGTCGAACGGGTGCTCGAGGTCGTGAGTTATGAAGTCGGAGGATTTCAGCAGCAGGTAAATGTCGCCCGGTGTCCAGCACTCGAGAGTGTGCGTTGCGCTCATGAAGAGAGCATCCTTGGGGGAGGACCAGTTGAGTTTCGGGGTCACGGCGCCGCCGAGGGTCGCTATCGTCTGTTTGATTTGGGAGTGGAGTTGAGGGAATCTCTGCGTGGGGTTACTCGCCCCGTCATCCTCGTCGTCCTCCTCATCCTCGGCTGCGCCAGGAGGGAAGTGGCTGGGCGCACTCATTTCCTCGTCATCCGAGCCGGAGGTGGCCGTAGCGGGCGGGGGAACGTCCTCGTCGTCCGGGAGGATGATCCCATCCTCACGCAGATAAGCAAGGAACTCTGGCGTTAGCGGGATCACACGTGCTTTCGGGGTTATCGACTTGTAGCGCGTGTACCACGAGGCGAAGGCGCAGTTCAGTATGTGGGACTTCTGTACGGGGGGGAAGATCTCGTGAAGTGTTTGTGGGGGGTTTAAGGCTAGGTCTTGGTGAACCATTGTTTGGCGGGGGGTACAGTAGCTGTAGATGCAGATGGGCTTTCCTGATGGCAGGGCAGTGAGTTTGATGGAGGTTGAGAGGGTTGAACAGCAAGCTACCGGTGCAGTACTGTACGAGACCACGAGCACAGCCCTCTGGTATGATACTCGCACCCACTCGCCCGCCTGCCACTCGCTCACTGACTCACTCAAGGTCAACCCAATGGATGAGTCAGTGTATCATCAGCCAGAGGCGGGGTGGGATGTTGGGAAAATCGGTGGAAAGGGCCAATCTAATCTGATCAAATCATCTAGATCTCCATTCCAGTGCCGTGGATACCCCACTTCCCCCCGTCATCCAACACATTGCCCGAGCCTAGCCGAGGAAGGCAGAACAAGGCACGGTTCAGGATATCATGTCATGACTTGCTCAGAGTGAAGGAAGTACTCGAGAACCACCGTACAGTATGATAGTATGATATCGGCACTTATAATCACCCGCAGTCAATCGAGTTCAAGCTCCGTCATTACCGTACCCGAGTGAGACACAGTGAAATCCCCATTACATTGCCATCCTTCCGATTGGCAGCGGTACGGTTGGTGGGTGGGAGGAAATTAAAAAAAAAAAAAAGAAAAAACCCTCGGAATAAATTTGTAATGACATTGTAGGAAATGTTCCTTCACTTTCACATGGTCTCTCCCCCTGCCCCCCACATTCATACAAAAGATAGAAAACATAATTTAAACGCACAGGGCCTTCCTCCACTGTTGTCCCATCATAGGAAAGCTAACTAGGATTGCCGGTACCATCGGTGGACAGACAAGATCTTCCTCCTTCGCCCATCTTTTCGAAGGTCGGACGCATCAATTCGCCGTCACTCGGGGTACTACTTTGCAAGGACTATCATAAAGGGCCTAAGGGCGAGAGCGAGGGAGAGGGAGAGAGCGATAGAGTGGAAGAGATAATTGTCAGGGCAATGGCTACCGCCCGTCGAGTGCCGTTGGTACTTTTCCGCCGGATCAATTCCCCGGCATTACTATCCAGCGGCAGCAGGCGCTCGCCACCACACCTCCTCCGGCAGAGACCCACGCCAATAACACCGATGGCAACAGCCATAAAAACACTCCAATCCCTCCGCCACTTCTCCTCCACCCCGCAATTCCAGAATGAATCGCTCCTACACGCGGAGCGGGAATCCGACCAAGTCGACGTGGTAATAGTCGGCGGTGGCCCCGCCGGCCTCTCCGCCGCGATCCGGCTAAAGCAGCTGGCGAACGCCTCCAACAATGCTGACTTCCGCGTCCTGCTGCTGGAGAAGGCCGGTGATATGGGAGCGCATATACTCTCCGGCGCTGTGATGGAGCCGTCTGCGATCAACGAGCTCCTGCCGGACTGGAATTCCCCCGACAATCCCTCCAGGTTTGAGGGCGCCACCCCCGTCACGAGCGACCGGATGAGATTCTTGACCAAGAATAGGGCCATACCGATGCCCGCGCCGCCACAGATGAACAATCATGGGAATTTCATCTTGTCGTTGAACGAGATGGTCAAGTGGCTGGCCGAGCGCGCGGAGGAGGTTGGCGTGGAGGTTTATCCGGGGTTCGCCGCATCGGAGGTGCTGTATGGGCCCGACGGTGGGGTCATGGGCGTTGCGACGAACGATCTGGGTGTTGGGAGGGATGGGAAGCCGAAGGCTTCGTTCGAGCGGGGGATGGAGTTTCATGCTAGGTGCACTCTGTTTGCGGAGGGGTGCCATGGGAGCTTGACGAAACAGGTTATCAAGAAATTCGATCTGCGTCGAGACTCGCAGATGCAGACGTACGGGCTTGGGCTGAAAGAGGTTTGGGAGATCAAGCCGGAGAATTTCGTCAAGGGCCAGGTCAGTCATACCCTCGGCTGGCCGCTGCCCAATAATACCTATGGCGGGTCGTGGATGTACCATTTTAGCGAGAACAAAGTTAGTCTGGGGTTGGTCGTTGGTCTCGTGGGTTCCCCCTCTCAACTGAACCCCCGATTTCGATCATTTCCGTTCTCACAAAGTTGTGAATAGGACTACCCGAACCCTTACCTCTCCCCCTACTCCGAATTCCAACGCATGAAACACCATCCCTTCTTCTCCTCCGTTCTCGCCGACGGCAAGTGCATCTCGTACGGCGCCCGGGCACTGAACGAAGGCGGCTTCCAATCCATCCCGAAAGTATCCTTCCCGGGCGGAGCGCTGATCGGGGACACCGCGGGCTTCCTCAACGTGCCCAAGATTAAAGGGACCCACACATCAATGAAGTCCGGAATGCTAGCCGCGGACGCAGCCTACACCGCGTTGACGGAGAATACATCTGGCACAGTGATGCTATACGCATACGAAGACGCCCTGCGCGCGAGCACGGTCTGGAAAGAACTAAAGCAAGTCCGAAACATGCGCCCGAGCTTCCACAACCCGCTAGGCCTCATCGGCGGAATCCTGTATTCCGGTCTCGAAGCCTACGTACTGAAAGGCCGCGTCCCATGGACACTCAAGCACCCGACCCCCGACCACGCCGCTACGCTACCCACTTCTCACCCCTCCGTGCGGAAAATCTCGTACCCAAAGCCCGACGGCGTCCTCTCGTTCGATATCCTGACCAGTGTCTCCCGCACCGGCACCAATCATGAAGAGGACCAACCCGTGCACCTCCGCGTCAAGGATTGGCGAGCCCACGCGCGCAAGGAGTTTCCGAGGTTTGATGGCTTGGAGAATAGGTTCTGTCCCGCTGGCGTTTACGAGTATGTTGAGGAGGAGGGAGGGAAGAGTGATGGGTTGGGAGTCAGGTTTCAAATTAATGCGCAGAATTGCATTCACTGTAAGACTTGCGATATCAAGGCGCCCAGTCAGGATATAGAGTGGTCGACACCGCAGGGAGGGGAGGGGCCGAAGTATTATCTAACCTAGTTGGATGAGGCGGGGATGAGTGATGAGGGGCGGTTGGGAGCCTTTGATGGGGTTTATCTTCCCTCTTTATTTTTTTTTCTGCCGCAGGGAGGAAAAGGTTGTAGTATAGTTGGGTTTAAGCTGGCGTGAATACATATCATCCCATACGAGCTATGCTAACGGGAAAGCGTGCTTCTCGCGGCAAACCCTTAGTAACCCGTGCTCTACTGCCGTAGGAACAGAACTCCACCCACATCTTTACCGGTATAATATCATCCCCACCTCCACAAACACCCTCGCAAAGGAGGAGGGAAAAAATGAACAAAAAACCCCCCCCACACCACGTTACATACAGCACAACATGAACACCTACGGCAAACCGATAGCCACCAGTAGCATGGGGATCAAGCCCTTTATAAAGAGCTCAGAGAAGAGGTGCAATCCCACGTATGATATCCAAGTTGCGCTCCCGACGACGACCACGCATCAAAATCACCCACAACGTGACAGGTATGGTATGGTATGGTACCCGGGGCTGGATAAACCGACTACCACGATCACTCCCGTAAGACCACTTGGCATATCGGGCCCTACCTGCCTCCCCGTGGTACCAATTCGTCCGTCGGGTACGGGACTGCCCGTATCTTACAGAGCGAGACCTACCCAATTGTTCGGAGTCATATATATAACAGGAGCGTGGGAGCACGTACGTACAATACCCAAAGTTTGCAGTATCATTATATCATACAGTGCGTACGTCAGCTCGGTCCCCCACCACCCTCACACCGCGCTCTCCACGATATATCAATACCAATCTAGACTATCCACCTCCATAGATTCTCGACAATTTGAGAAAATGCGATTTTGTAGTTTTGTGTGTGTGGGACGGTTTGTATGAGGAGGAGGGGTTAGGATTGTTAGGATTGTTGTGCTGTTTTGGTTTCGGTGATTAGCTGTGGTTACGATGATGGACCGTTTGTTTGTGCCGTCTTCTTTTTTTCTCCCTACAGTATCGAGGGTGTAGTTGATCTTTGCTGTGTGGCTCTTATGTCGTGGACGGGTTTGTGTTCATGCTCCGGCACAAACTTGAACTTTGCACTGGCATGTGTTTATTGCACTTGGTACAGCACCCTACTCGAGTGATACATGGTGAAGCAATGTTTCCTTCCAAGTATGATACCGTACCGGTATGGTATCTCGGCGGGAATTTTTTTTTTTTCTAAATTTAGTCGTGATCACTACTTCCAATTTCTTTTTTTTTTTTTTTTTTTTTCCTAGAACACGACCTTTCCTGGAAAAAGGTAGTTGTAGCCGAGGGCGTTATTCACCGTGGCTAACCGGAACCAAAATACTCGAGTACCGGTAGCGGGATGCACCGGAGAATGTTGCCAAGAATTGTAAATCTTTACCATACTGATAGCGCTAGTGGGTCATGATGTTTACGCTTCTCAAAGCTCCAGGACAGCAACACATCTTCACAACCACCACCAACATGCCACAACGACCACCACCACAATCCCCCCTCCCCCGACGGGGAGCACGATCCCAGCCACCCCTCCACATCCAGGCGCCACCCCTCCGCCGCCCCGCCCGTTCCAAGACCCCTCTAATCCTAGCGGCAGGGGTAGCTGCATACGGCCTGTCCCTCTACACAGCATACCTCTACACAACCATCAAGGACCTCCCACCCGCCCCCTCGAGTCCGCGCCTCCAGCCTAGCAACGCAAAGGTCTACAACGCCCTCGCAAGCGAGTACGACACAAGCATCTGGTTCTCCGAGCTGACAATGGGCCTCCCGCTCCTCCGCCGCGCCCTGGCACGCCGAGCTCACGGGCACGTGTTGGAAGCGAGCGTGGGCACGGGGCGGAACGCAGCGTATTATGACATGGACAAATGCGCCAGCGTCACCGTCGTGGACTCCAGTCTGGAGATGCTGACGGTCGCACGGGCCGCCTTCGCATCGCGGCATCCGAGGTCGGGGACGAGGGTGCGGTGCGTGCACATGGATGCCGCGGCCCCATTACCACCGCCCCCGACCCCGGCGGGGGGCAAGTACGACGTGGCGATACAGAGCATGGGCATATGCTCGCACGAGGATCCCATCGCCCTACTGCGCAATCTGGCCCGCAGCGTGAAGAGCGGCAGCGAGGGGGGTCGGATCGTCCTGCTGGAGCACGGGAGGAGCAGGTTCGAGTGGATCAATGACCTGCTGGATAGATTGGCGTGGGGGCACGCTAGGCGTTGGGGGTGCTGGTGGAATAGGGATATCGGCGAGCTGGTGGAGAGGAGCGGGCTCAAGTTGCTGGAGGTCAGGAGGTATCATTTTGGGACCACGTGGTGGGTCGTGGCCGTTCCCCCGGACGAGGACAAAACAATAGTATCGTCTTCTCCTTGACGATAATGGACAATACTGTAAAAACCGTAGTCCACAGTACATGTGCCTATATCCTCCTCCTCCCACAAAAGAAATCACAAGAAATCACGTGACACCCCACCTTTTTTTTTTTTTTCACTCTTTTCTTTTCCCCCCCCATACAAGCATAATTCAATGAGAGAAAAGAAAAACCCGTCGCACGAGGCACAAGCAAAGCTTTGTACGAGTACGGTACAGCGCTTGTATCACCCACCGTCTCACCCCTTCCCATCCACACATTACGATACGATACGATACCATATCAATTCTTGGACGCACCCACACACACAAATCCCTCTTCCACCCACTCCCCGGGTACAGTACCGGTACTCGTACAAGTAGTCTATCATATGCCACACCGGTTCGTCATACGCCATAAGTTATCAAGAATGAGTCAGGTTACGGCGGCATCTTCCACCGCCCCATCTCGGCATGTGCCTAATGGGACGGGACCTGCTTACTGTCACTGTCTTGTATGTAGACTATGCCGTACTTGTAACACCCCACGATAAGGGGTTTTTCTCGCCTCTGCTCGGGAGGTGAGACTGCTGTGCCGGTTAGGTTAGGTTAGGTAAGGTCAGGTAAGGTTAGGTAGGGTACCGCAGGGGAGGGAGGGAGGGAGGAGTACTAGTATCATAGAAAGCGGGCGGGACCGGGAGCTTTGTTTGTGGTGCCGTATCCTACCGTACCGGTACTTGTATGGTATGATGAACAAGTTGCTATCGGTATCGGTGGTGTATTATACTCGTACTCGTACCGTACGGTAACGGGTATAGGTTACGTTACCGCACTGTGTTGTTTCCGACGTATAGTGCGAAATGCCGGCTTATATCTAAAGTAAGTATCATATCCGAGAGCGATAAAGAATGGGCATTGTAGATTTGTCTGTTTTGTTGGTTTGAGTGAGGTGCGAGTGTCGTACCGGCACGATATACTGTATTGTATTGTACTTGTATGGTATAGTACTGGTACAGCAGTCAACGGCGGCGGGAATACTTCTCCATCTACGTGTACTGTACAGTACAATGCTGTATGATAGATAGCTGCAGACTAGAGTAATGTTCGAGTGGTGAGGAAGGGGTTTCGGAATTCTATTTTGTATGACACTGTATATCACACTGTGATATAATGTGGAAGAAACTGCGCATCGTACGAGTATCATAGCACTACCTGTTACTACTATCCAAGTTAGTGCCCTGCTTATATATACTTGATTTATCAGTACCAAGTTAGCCCGTTTACCCCCTTCCTTGGCACTTCCATGGAGTCGAGTGTGATATGATAACTTAACCGTAATTTAAGGTACCGGACGGTAGGTGTCCTCAGAAACCTCGAATGGGATGTTTTCCCCGTGACCTACACACTAGTAACATGGAACTACGGTATGATACCGGTATCCTATACAAAGAGGTGGCAGGGTCCGAAGCCACGTTATCATGTATATATTAGTACAATACAGGCCGTTTGCACTAGTACAGCACTCGAGTACGGTGGCCTGGAAATCCGCTCGCACGAACCATGATACCGTACGAGTACAGTACCGCACCGCAGTCCCGGCATCACAGACCAATCGGTGCCGGCGGCAAGTTTTCCCATCCGGAACCCCCACCTCGGCCCAGGTTTTCCGAGGACGGATCCCCGGATTCCCGTGATAGCCGTGCGTTTTTTGTTTCTTTTTCGGGTACGAGTAAAGTAGTTCCACGTTGGGTCTGATATTAGTTTTTCCCTTTGATTCTCTTTGACAAAAAAAAAAGGGAGATCAAATTCCGCAACCGACGTTTTTGGCGCCGAGATTCACTTGCGGAAATGATTCCCATGGCTGGAATAGATATCATGCCCGTATGTACCGTATCCTAGTCTATCGCTATCGGGATCGCCACTCGAAGCACGAATATTTCGGTTTTGGTCTTTTTTCGACTGTTAGACTACCTCACTTCCCGTGATACCGGTATGCGGTACGGTATAGCCTCCCTGATCTACCGTGCGCCACTCGTACGGTACTCGTGACCTATCGCTGCAAAAACACCGAATATCGCCCCAACATGGTGACAGATCTTCTCCGAGGAACCGCCACTCCGGCTCTTCCGCAGAATACCTTACTTTATTCATGGCCCTTCTCCTGCTGTACCGTACGGTAAGTGTTCTTCATGTTACTGTAGACTATCATACCGGTGCTCGAGTTCGGTCACGCCAAGAGCCTCCTCTCCCACCAGCCACACAAGTACTGTACTTCCCTCCTTCGGTAAGGGGCTTGGGTTAGCCCTAGGTGATCAATCGCGCTACGATAAATTGCTGCGAAATCTGGCCACGCATGGTTCAAGGGGTGGAGGGGTGGAGGGGTGGAGGGGTGGAGAGGGGGGGGAAGAATAGAGTGTGTGGTGGGATGGGAAGGAGGGATCATGCTCGCTTGTCCATTTCATGTACGCTTCCGTAGGAACTGGAATGGTTGGAAAGGTCGAGCTACCGGTAGGACGTTGGAGTTGCCTCTCCCGGTAAGGGCTCGCTGTCTCCCTTTTCTTTGTCCGTCTCAGCGGTTGAGAGCCAGTCCCTTCCCTCCCCCCGTTTGCCCCCCCCTCCCTCTGCCTCTTTGGATCAGGATGTCTTGGCGAGAGGTCCAATCATCCCGGTTTCCAGGGAGAGTTGGCCTTCGCGGTTGTGATTGTGATATGATAACCTACAGCACGAGTATCGTACCGGTGGTTAGCCGCCGCCCTGGGCAACATTAAAGAGAGTAACCCGAGTTAATAATCCCCTCACTCCCCGTCGTGGGGGTGGTCGAGTTAAGGCTTCACCGATGGCGGTATCATCCAGAAGACTTTTTTGTCTAGGATTGTTTGTCTGCTGTGAATGCGCCCCCTTTACTCGTACTTTGCATTTCTTCTTCTCCCCTCCTTTCCTGTTTTGGGGGGGAGGGAAGGGGGTGGTGGGCGAGGTAACCGCTCCCATATGTGATGCATTCATCCGTTCACCTGTTATTACTGTCGTTGTGCTTGCTGGCCGTCCGTCCACTTGGGTGGGGAGGGGCCGGTCGTGGCAATGCTCGTGCAGTGCCGGCATCGTACCGTATCGCACTCGAGAAGAGCGGTAACCTGTGCGTGTAATTCGAGTTAATAATGATCCCCATGTTTATTTTTTCCTCTCCCAGGCGACTTGACGTCCCTCCGTCCACTGTCCCACTCGTACAATCTACCGGTACTACAATACCGGTACTGTACCGCCCTCTTGCATGAAGGGTGCGGTATCGCAAAACGTCACGGTTAGCGGTGCGCATGGGATCGCCAGAAGGGGGAATGTGGGGATGAGGAAGGAGGTGTGTGCGCTCCATGCATCATGGGGGAGAAAACACCGCATGTGTTATTTATTCACTTGGGCGTGTGGAGTGATGGGTGGGACTGAGGGGGGGCGAGTCGAGCATCTGGTGCACCTGCCTAGTGCGCTGCACGAGTATACTGTAATATCATACGGTATGCGATAGATGGATAGAACGTACCGTACCGGCAATGCACTGCTATCATATTACCGTAATAATATCATGGATATCGATAGACTAGGTACTCTACGTTAGGTGTGGTAGGGCAGGGCAGGGCATGGCAAGGTGGCGATCGGTTGGTATCATGGGTTGGTTGGTGGTTTGGGGGGGGGGGGAGAAGGAAAGGAAGGAAGGAAGGAAGAGAGGAATGTTTCTCGATGGTTTGATGCTCGAGTGCCTGTGGGATGCTGCCGTGATGGTGGATTGTCTTCCTCTTTGTCTCTCGCTCCCGTGGGTGGTTGGGGAAGCGCACCCGCCAAGTTACTCGAGCATCATAACCGGTACAGTAATCTACTCGTACAGTACTCGTACAGTACAGCACTCGTACGGTCACTGTGCCCAGTGTGGGTGTGCCCCTCCCTCATCTAGTGACCTCCTTACTCACTCGTCCCATCATCGTCATCTCGAGGCAACGACAATAATAGCGGAACAACGATAATAATAATAACAACTCTCCTCTTCCTCTCCTCTCCTTCGCCTTCGGCCTGGCGATGGTGCGGCGTCCACCTTGAAGGGTATTATTGTACGGTACTGTAGTCTGCTGTGGCCTCCCATACAAGTGAACTCTGAACCCTTTTCCTCTCCCCCCTTCCTGGACGCCCACCCATTCCTTCCGACACTTTGCTCTGCTCGGTCGCTGCTGTCCTGCAGCGCACAGCCCAACTGCCGCTTCCCTCCCTCCCTGCACACTATCGACTTTTTTATTTTTTTTATCGCCCCTCAGGTTGTCCCGTCGCAGTGTAATCTTCCATTTCCTGATTTGGCTCTTCCATTTTCCGTCTTCTAGCTGTTCTCGCTGGGATTACGATAATTCTTGTTTTTGTTTTTCCCCTTCCTGCTCGCGCGGCTAACCGTTTTGTTTTCGATTACCCTTCGGTGTTGCAGCACGGTACGGGTCCCTCCTCCCCCCCCTCCGCATTTTGCCATCTGCGTCGTCGCCCTCGTCCTTCTCCTCCTCCCACTTCTCCTTCTCCTCCTCTTCCTCATTTGTTCTCACACACTCCTGATCCAATAGATTGATTACCGGGACAGCACAGTACGTACAATCAATCCCATTCGGTTCGATCCCATTTCTCGTTCCAAGTCTTGTCTTTTTTTTTTTTGTTGTTGTTGTTGTCTTTGGCCTTTTCGCTCTCCCTTCCCCCCTTCAACCTCCGAGAAGTCTCTCTCTTCATAGAATCAAGATGGTCTACAATACTCGCCGAAAGTCCCTCTCGTTGCCATCGCTCGGGATTCACCTTCCGCAGAGCTCGCGCTCTTCGCCCTCGTCCTCCACCACGAAGAGCGAGCCACCGCAGAAGCGTGTGAAACGGGATCATTCGCCCCTGTCCGCTGGCGGCTACGATACCACTGGTCGCAACAACCTCCCACCCTCACCGCCGCCGGAATGCAGGATTAGTCACGAAGGCATCAACGATGAGATTGTATCTGGGGTAGTGGACGTGCTCGAGCGGTCGGGGAATAGGCCGCATACTGTTAAAGAGTTGGCGGCCGTGTTGGCGCCCGTTCTTGGAGTTGTGGAAAAGTCAGTTACCCTTTTTTTTTTTTTTTCCTTTCCCCCTATCCATATTCCTATTTCTTATTTTTATTTTTTTTTCCTCTGTCGAGGGGGGAAAATTATTTTGGACTGCTTTTTTTATTTTTTTTTCCTCACCCTCTTCCCCGGAGAAAATGGTAGCCCCTCCCTTATCGGTGTGTACACTAGGTGGTAAGATGGTGTGTGTGTGTGGTGGGTGTGGGTGTGTCGGGGAATTGTGGTTTCGCGCTGTAGGGATGATGTCTCAAAAAAGGAAAAAAAAGAAAAGAAAAAAAAGAAAGGTTGTCAAAGCGCTGACTGGTGGTTTTGGGTTGCAGCTCGGCCAATCCCCACGCAATAATTTCTTCACGATTAAACACCTACCTGAAGCGCCCTTCCTCATCATCGTCGTGTGTACTCTCGAAAGAACTAATAACGACCCACCCGAAGCGCATATACTTCTACCTAAGTGCAATTCCCCACCAACCGATCCCGAACTCTCTTAATCCCCAGCTCAGCGTCGTCTCGCCCACACCCACCACCCCTTCAACGTCGGATACCGAGGACCCGGACGTGGAGGAGAGTGAAGACCTTTGTCGCCGTCGCGAGCTCTCTCCCAGCCCGGAAGTGGATCTGGATTTTACGTCGCACGAATTGTCGCCCCCATCGCCCGTGCCCAGCGCGACGAGCGGCACAACGCCCGCGAGTACGGGCCTCTCGGGAGGCAAATCCTCCCTGTCATCCCCCCCGCTGGAAGGGGACGAGCGCGAGTTCTCGCAATCGGCCATATACATCTGCCGACGAAGCGCCAGTCGCGAGACCTCAAATCCGCCCTCCTCCGTCGCCGGGGAGAAGCGGAACAGGGGCGAGTACGAAGCGGATGGCCACGGGGAGCCCGGCGGGGACGCAATCCTGTTGGGGTATTCGCACGCGGCGGTATCCGGTGCTATCGGGGGCGTGGTGACGGGTGTCGGGGTCCTGGATAATTCCGGTGGCCTAGCGCACGTGAAGCGGGAGGATGGAGAGGACGACGAGGATATCCAGGAGAGCCGAGTGGAGCCGCCGGATGAGGAAGCGGCGGAAGCGGAAGGGACACGAGAAGAGAGCGAGAAACCGGTGGGGCTTGGCCTGGGCAATTGGGGCGGAGAGTTGGAAAGACATTTGGGATCGCCCGAGAGCGTGGAACTGGATGAGCTGGATGACCTTTTCGACTTTTAGAGGATACTCCTTCACCTACCTACCGTGTATTGCCGATTGATTGATTGATGGCTGCGTGGATGTGATCCATCTCCACTCCACTCCACTCTTCTCTACTACTATTACTCTCATCACCACTACTACTTGCTCACTTCCTTTTGCTGCTATTATTACTACTGCGTCGTTCTTGTTTGCTCCTTCCTTCTCTTTTGGTAATTGGGTTGGGTTGCGATTACGCGGGTGCTGGTATTATTAGACGAGCTGGAGGGTTCTAGAACGCGCAAGCGAGGTTGCTCTTCTTTGCTCTTCTCTATCTCTCTACCTCTCTACCTCTCTCTCTTCTTTTGTTTTTCCTTTTTTTCTTTTAGGTTGTCGTTCGGGATGACTATTTCTCGTCGCTGTTATCGAGGGTTTGGCCGGTGAGGAAGAAGAAGAAAGAAAAAAGTCATGTATGATAGGAGAAGTTGTCACGGTTTGTTGGGAGTTGGAGGAGGGTGGGACTGTACAATATATCGTATCATATATCATCGTGGTTGTCTACGGTGTCGTACGTGGTTGACGTTATCATGTGATTATCATGACGGTGAGGGGGGAAGGAAAAGAGGGTGCGCAAGGCCATTATTACATTACACGCTGTTTGGTCTACACCAGCTGTGCTGCGCGTATTGCGAATGGAGGTGAGATTGGACGGGATGAGATGAGATGGAATGGCACGCAATATTCTCACTTTTGCCCCGTTTCGCGGGATGCATGTGTCGCGGTGCGCATGGGCAAATCGTGACAAGTTTCTGCAAGGGACCAACCAGCCAACCAACCAACCAACAAAACCAACTGCTATCATACATACCGTGGGCTGTGCCGGGTCTGGCACCGAAAATACCGTACCGGACCGTACCGTTGCTCACAAGGCAAAAAAAAGGGTGGGAGAAAGTGGAGGGCTCCGGCGCGGGGGCGATTAAGAGCCATCATCATCATCGCAGTCATCGTCCATTTTTGCGACGAAACAATACCGCCACATACGTACCCGCCACAGATGTGTAAACTCCCATGCTACCGTACGGTATCAGATCACAACATACTTCAGCATGGTGAGTCTTTGCGGAGTGGGGTGCGGATTACCTACGGTACATCCCGTGCCTTACCCCACCATACCCTACCGTATTGTTACCGGTGCAAAGGGTTGAAAAAGGCAGGTATCATGGCTACAGCGGAGTAGGTAGTAAGCTATGTATGAATGAATGAATGATACGGTAAACTTTACGATAGCGGTAAAACTGCTACTGTAGTCTAACCACTGGGCTCTGTGCTGTATTATATCATACGGGTACTGCACTGTACTGCACTGCACCCTACTCGAGTGATTGTTTTGGTTGGTTGGTTGGTTGGTCGGGTAGGGTACAGTACAGTACCGATACTAGTACAGCGTATGGGAAATGTATGGACTCTGTCAGCTAAGCACACGAACATCCTATCCCATCGCATCTTGGCCTACCGTAACACCTTCACCAAGAGCCCAACCAAACCCATCCGACTTCAAATTCTAGAAAATCGAATGGCGGTACACACTCGAGTAGTACCATCATCACAAACACCGAATGAATGAATGGACGGAACTATATATCTACTGTATGATACCGGTTGGTTTATCGACCACCATGACATCGCATCGCACCGTACTTACGAGTATAAATACTCACATCATAGTTTTACAAACTTGTGTAAAACTTCACTACTCGCGGGATGGACGTCTCTATCAGTGTTCATCGGTTCGTTACGGTATTGTGCTGGTAACTAATACCACTACTGTACTGTATTCTTGCTTGCTTCATTTGTATAAGTGATGCGGTTAGCTGCTGACTTTACTGTACTAGAGTGCTCGTACAGTACAGTACCGGTACTCTACAGTTGTGGAAGGTTTCTCCCGTTCGAACTTGTCGGTCGGTCGGTTGGTCAGTCAGGCGGGATGGGACGGGACGGGTGAGGTAGAGTACCGTACTAAAGCGCGTGTTATATTTAACCTTGCCAGGTGGATAGATGGATGAATGGATGAATGGATGGGCCAAGTGCCCTTCGCGTGAAAACTCAGGTTTCAGATCGTTTGGGGTTTTTTCTCTCTCTACGTATCGGGTGCGGAGTTTTTTTTTTTTTCATTTTTTTTTTTCATATGTTTATTGATTCTGGCTCAAAAATGTACATGGACCTCGCGGTATGGCATACAAAAAGCCTTAATTCCAAACGCATAAACAATAAAGAAACAAACAACAAGCAGCAGGTCCTTCAAATCGGAGCAAAATAGCCCCTCGCATCGCTAAGGATGACTCACAAAATAACGTGTAAAGAAATGCCCTCCTATGCTGGACACCCAGCATACCAAAAGCTATAGGAAACAAAACAAGCCTGACCATGCCCCAAATTGCCACCTGGGCTACCATACAACCCTGCAAACCAAATTGTAATAACCCAAACACAACAGAAATGAAAAACCCTGAATCCTTAGGAAGCAGGGGGTGTTTAGAAAGGGCCTCAAGGAGAGCCCGAGCTCGATGCGGAGTCTGCCCTGGTTGCCGGCATCGCGGGCGGGAAGCCAGTAGCAGTTGCAGAGATGTAGCTGGCAAGCCCCAAAATGAGGGGTGCCGAGGACCAGATAGGAGCGCCCGGCCCCAGCTCTGTTACGCTCCGAAGGTGGGCCGCATGTTGCTGAGACTTGGCAGGACAGTGGAGGATGGCGTGTTCGAAGGACTCATCCTTTGCCTCACAGGAGGGGCAGAGAGTGGAGACGTCTTGATCGTGCCAGGATGTGTGGGTGGCGAGGTAGCTGCTGCCAGACCTCATTTGGTGGATGCGGCCTGCAATGAACCTCGGGAGGGCCATGAAGGGATGCGGAGAGTGAGAGAAGGGGTAGGACTTAACATCCGAGGCATGGCTTGACCGTGAAAGGTCGACTGAAGCCGAGGCCTTGACTTTGGCCTTCAGGGCATGGTAGAGGGGTGCCCCCCTGGGGTCATAGGTGCGGGGCATGATCAGGTGGAGTGCAGCGAGAGGCAGGAGTGTGGGGAGCAGGTCTAGCACGGAGTTGACGACCGCATCGAGGGGGAGGTGCTTGCAGCCTTTTCTGGGAGTAGCTGTCCACCTCGTAGGGAAGGCATTGCCCTAAACCCCTTTTAGGAGGGGGCGGTTAGAGAAGGCTCGCCAAGTGTCCCAAGTAGGGACGGTCTCGTCGAGTCTGGTGGAGGCGGGATTGACCATAGGTGGCGAGCAGACCACTCTCATGGCCACCCCTCTTCGTTTGAGGGCCAGATAGGCTTTTATGGGAGGGAGCGCTGCCTCTACATGCAGCGCCGCGATGGAGGTGAATGAAAAGCAATTGGTAACCCAGCACAAGACTCGGTGCCAGAAGGTGTTTAGTTTGTTGAGCATGGCCACGTTAGGGACCAGAACATCACCCCCGAAGGTGAGAATAGGGAGGATGAGGCTGACCATGAGTTTACAGTTGAACCCGGAGGGCATACCTTTGCCCGGTTCGCTTAGCCAGCGTACAGTAATGAAGGCCGCTTGTGCTAGAGCAAGGCGCCTGTTGAAGTGAGGAGTGGACTCCCAGGCTGGCGTGAGCCAGTAGCCGAGCCACCTTAGTTTTGGTGATGGGTGAAAAGCGTTGTTGTTGAGGTTGATGGGGGAGGAGGCCACTGGACGGCGGTCCCTGGGGGTACGCCAGTGAGCGAGCTCAGTCTTGGCAATGGAAAACTCCACGCCCAGCTTGCGCGCACGTTCTTGGACCAAGTAGAAGAAATGCTGAAGTTGCCTTATATTGGTCCTTGTGGAAAGCGAGGCAACCGTAAGAGCGAAGTTGTCCACATAGGAGATAATAAGGCAGCGCGGAATAGAGTGATGGATGGATGATACATAGATAACAAAGAGCAGTGGAGAGACTGGGGAGCCCTGGGGGGTGCCCACAGCCACTGGAGAGAAAGTACCTGGCGCCCCCTGAAAGACCAGGCGGCACTGGCGTTGCGAGAGGAATGAGCCCACCCATGACGTAAGGTAGCCGAGGGGGGGTCCCATGGTTTTTGAGTATGGAGGAGAGCTGATTCTTATTGACATTGTCGAAGCCCCCTTTGATATCTAGGAAGAGGGTGGAGGCCGTTAGGCCCCTGGCTTGGTGGAGACGAATTTCGTGCGAAAGGGTTGTCATTGCGTCATAGCAGCTCAGGCCTGCAAGCGAGCCACACTGATTGATGTTGATCAGGCCAACGGAGCGGGCCACGGCTGCCAGCCTGAGGGCCACGATGCGCTCAAGGATCTTGGATACTGTTTGAAGGAGGACAATGATTCTGAAGGAAGCGGAGGAGGAGTAATCGGGCTTTCCTGGTTTGTCAAGGACTATGCCATTGGCCTTCTTCATTGAGGGAGGGTGGAAGCCGTGAGAGAGGAGGGGCGACAGCAGAGAGGGTAGTAGCCTGTCATTTGATCTGTGAATGGCCTTCCAGACCCCGTAAGGGATCGAGTCGGGGCCTGGGGCGGAGGAGGAGGAGGAGCGGCGCAGGACGGCCGAGACCTCGGACGGAGTAATGGGCGTGGTGCCCGACAGAGGAGGCAGCAAACGTGAGGGCGGAGGCAGTGGTGGAACAGCAGGGAAGAAATGTTGGAGGAGGGTGTCGTTTATCTCAGAAGGCGTGTTGGCGCCTGGGAGGGAGGGGAAGCGAGCAGGGGCACGCTTGTAGGTGAACTTCCTGGCGGTCCAGATGGACTGATTGTCAACCCCAGAGAGAAATGTCTTCCAGAGGTTTGCCTTGGCTTTAGTGATGGCCTTGAAGTATGAGGCCCTTGCTGACTTGACATCAGAGTAGGAGGCGCTGCCCCGGTGGGCTGCGCGAGAGACAGAGTTGAAGATAGATCTTAGTGAGGAGAGGTCAGCGGACCACCACGGCTTTGAGTATACCGAGGGCCATTTGAGCGGCGTGAGGCCAAGAGGGATGGAGGTTATTGCGTTCAAGGAGGAGTCAAACCATGAGGAGAGTGAGCTGGAGGTGGGGAAGGATGGGCTCGAGCCGAGAGACAAGCCGGCAAGTGCAGGGGCTGCAGCAAGCCAGTCCGTCTTCTGCCAGTTGAGGCAGGGAGGAGCGACCACCTCGGATGGTAACCGAAAGGCAAGAGAAATAGGAACATGATCTGAGCCCGTAGACTCCAGGGAAGTATCCCACAGTGAAAAATATGGAAGTAACAAGTCATTTGCGAAGGAGAGGTCCAAGACCGAGGGTCTAGAGACTTGGTCGAAGGGAAAGCGAGTAAAAACACCAGGGGTATTAAGAAGAGTAAAGGACCTGTCTGCCGCCTTTCTGAAATATGGGACAGAGGAGGCAAGGTCCCTATGGGGGATGACCCTATCTGGATCGGACAAGGGGTTGTGAAGGTTAAAGTCGCCTAAAGACAAAACAGGAAAATCATGCCACGGGAACAAGGCATTGGGGGAAACGAACATAAACCGGGGGTCACCCAGCTGCGTGGAGTAGGAATTATACACACGAAGGACTTTATGAGCAGAGTGAAACATCCCGCTGGATGAGTGGATGTCCACTGCCATGTGGTCCGACGGACCAAAATACACAGGAAGAACAGAAAAACACTCCAGCAGTCGATTGGCCACATATATTGCCACCCTGGGTTTAGCCCCGGGCGCAGCTGGAGGGAAAAAACACTTGTAGGATTTTGCAGTTGGAGGAGAGCCCTT